TTTTTTTTTTTTTTTTTTTTAATGATTATTTCAAAATTTAATTTTAATCTCTTTTTTGTTTTTGGTATCCAGCTGGCATGAAATATAAATAATTAGAATGAAAAGAAGAAACAAAGTGAAAATTGAAGGTTCCAAGAAGCACGTGCCGGCTGTATGGTCCCACCGGTGCTCACTCTCACGGATATTTTGACTTTCTATATTTTATTAAAAACAAGTAAACGTGTTCTCTCTCTCTCTTCCCTACGTAAAAGTTTTAATTATATTCATCTAATTATACTCGAACAAATTTGAATAAAATTACCTTGACATGTAATATTTGAGCAATTTTTTTTTTAAAAAAAATAATAATAAATAACCCATAGAATTCTATTTTTCAATTTTTAAATATAATATTTTAAAGTTGCTAATATTTAGTATGAATGCCTTGTCAGCATTTGACCACGTAGTCAAATTCAAACCTAGAGAAATTTGGTTGATCTTGTTCGGATTTGTCTACGTGTCACATTCTTATTTGACTAATTCTTTTCTTTTTTTTTTCTTTTTCCTCAAAAGCTTATTGACTAAATTGTATTTCATATTGAATATAATAAACAAGCTCATAATTTTCCTCAAAAGCTTTTTAAAAATTACATTATATAAAATTCTTTTCATTGTTTATTCTCCAAATTCTCCAATAACTCTTAAATATATATTAAAATTTAATTATAAATCTTAATTAAAAAAACAACTCGAACCATGAAATTTATGGATGAGTTAAGTTAGGTTGAGTTTATTATTTAATAAAAATTGTTTGAGCTGGAAATTTTACAACTCGAACAATGGGATTTGGTCTAGAAAATGTCTCTACTCAATCCACGAACACCCCACCTCTACAAAGTGGGTAAACGACATGAGGTAACGAGGGCAGTGTGAATATTTATACTCTTCCATGCTGCATATGCTTCCTGCAGAAATTACTGTAGCATGTGCTTCTACATTAATTTTTAAAATCTCCATTAAAAAAAAACAGAAAATAGAATGATTGAAATGGAAGAAGGACAATTTGGTCACAGTGGTAAAAAAGAAAGGCATGTCCTGTGAAGGAGATGAATTGTTAACAAGACGCGGGAAGGGCAGAAAGTCATATATGCCCCCACCCTTCACACAAAGGGCGGTGACTTTCTTATATAATTAAATATAAATTTTATTGCCGAACGACAGGTCGGATCCGAGTTGGAAGTGTGGACTTTGCCAGCTAGGCTATTCCCATCCCCATGCACGTACCATTTCCTTCGCCGTCAGTTTGTATAGTTTCTCATTATTTAAAATTTTGATTTTATATAATAAGTTAATTCAGGATATGTTTGAAATAATATTTTACCGTTGGATGTCTCAACCTTATTTTCTCCAAAAGACAAATAATGGAGTAGTAAATTAAATTAAATAGGATTTAGAGGAAAGTAAATAAAGGGCCCCCAACCCATTTCGAAGGACTTTACGGACGTACCTTAGCCAATGGTACGACACGACGACCCAATGTGAGCATTAAGGTAAGGCGACGTGTCGTTTTGGACAAGTTAGACCTGCTCTTTGCACCCACTCTGGGGCACAACACTGGGCCCAGCTTAACCACTTCTTCTGCTAATGGAAGCTCTTACATGGAACCACGACGCAGGAGGGGGGGCTCGTGATACAGGACCACATGGTTGCAAGGGTCAGAAGGAGGATGTAGTTCCTCATCTGCTGCTATGGCCACCGAACCTAAAGTTAAACGATATGTGTAACCGATAGTTTGGAACTTCGAAAAGTAAAATTTGAGTGTCGGTATAAAAATAACAAGTTTTAAGCTTAAAATGGGAATATGAGATTGTTGAATATAACGTACCTGTTACGTGAGAAATTTGTTGTGCATAAATAAATCAAGATTACAACTAAACGAGAGTGATATTGAGTATATGGTAGTTGCCCTCTCGAGCAATCTAACATCATCTAACAATCCTTCTAACTATAAACTTCAAAAAGCCTATCATCTCAACAAATTCATCATCAAACGGTCATTCTGTTTTCATGCTAAAAATTACTGAACAATGTGGCAAAGAGAATCCCTGGCCTCATCACCATGGTTATCTCGTGCAGACACAGATAGAAACATAACAATTAAATAACTTTCCAACTAAAGAGATGAAATCTTGGGCATATAGCATTCACCCCTACGAAGGGACGCATTGATTGAGATAGGTAACGGTACTCTACTTTTTAACTGCTGATTTCTCTATCAATCTTTGTTCTCTTGGCGCTAGTAGGCATTTCTGATACGCTACTACTTCTCTGCTGGAACACGGGATCGTGCTGATACGCACAATTAGATCCATGTCGACATCCTCTCGGGCTGTTAAAATATATGCAGGGTTTCATTATCTTGAACTTTGCTTCTCTTGATGGCTGGTTCTGTAAGAACTCTTGGTTTGTACCCAAGAGTTGGTTGTGACGGTTCGGGAATTGCTGCTGCCGAGGGGGATCGTCCTGTCTCTCCCCTCCATGTTGCTGAATCAAACTTTTATAGTAATTCAAGTCCTTCAATGGGGCTCCATTGGAGGGCAGGGAAGAAGAAACTGGTACACCCCTTGAGGAAGGGTGTGCGTTGGGGACAGGTGCTACACTCCCTCCATTGGGTTGAGAGAAAAAAGGAGGCGTCATGGTGGCATTGGTTTCGGACATAGGCATATGTACAAGCTGTGGGTCAGAAGATGATATTGGCTTTTGAGTGCTTGTGACAACACCAGAATCCACAACCAGCTGTTCGATCATTTTTGGATTGTTGAGAATATTAACAAGTAATTCGCGGTCGATCGAGTTACCTATCTCATTGCTCTTCACAAGTGCACCGAGTGCCGCGGATGCAGCAGCTACAACATCATGTTTGTTGCCAAGATCCATTCCAGCCATAGAACTCACACTAGAAGTAGAAGACATCGCATTTAGTAAAACATGTTGAGATGTGGATCTACCAGCAGGAGTAAATGGGGAGGGCTGTGCACTCGTATTAAGGACAGAGGCGGGGCTTGCGTAATCAGACGAGGTCTCGGTTGTTGCATCTTCGTCTTCAACAGGAGTAATGGGAATCAGAGGTGTTTGACTGTCATCTACATTGGCACGTTCTGAATCAGCTACTACGGACGGGCTGTAGGGATGCGAACCAAACGGATTTTCAGTATAAAGAATAGCAAACAAACCAATGCCAAAACAGAAACTATAAGGTGCAAAGGAAGTAATCAACTTAGGAGGAATTGCAGATGGCCGAGGATAAACCGCTTCAAGTACTCTCATCTCTCTCTGATTTTCAACAACTACCTCTCGGCTTTCTTCACCAACAACCACTTGCCACGTCAAATTCAGCACAAACTACGGGAATAAACATTAAAAGGAAAAGAAGAAAAAAAACTGCCATGGGACAAAAAGCATGAATTTCATGTTAAACTTGCAGAGCTATAGTTCTAGTTGTTCAACATAAATTGAAAATGAAATCACTACTTACCTTAGGCGGACATCTCCATTGATTAACAGGAATCTGTGAGAGCTTAATCTGCGACTGATTCTCTGAATGAGCTACTTCAAATCCAGGAGGCAAAGTGTCATCAGAACCTGATCCAGTAGAATGCAAAAGCCACGATGCCTTTGCTTGAAGGTGATCTTGGGCACCCAATCCCACTTGGGAAGGACAGTCCTCAGACAAGAACAGCCTAACCTGCAAACAAACGATGCATTTGTTACCTGTTAGGGTAAGAGCATATAAAAGACATTCAAACAAAAGGAGCCAAATTAGAACCTAAACTACCTACTACCAAAAATGAGAGAAAAAAAAATTCATCCAAAAGAACAAGGACAGATTGATAATTACAAAAACTCCTAGAAGCGTGAGGTTCGAGTCATAGAGGTACAAGCTACTCTTCAAAAAATATGTTATAAAACATATGTTTGGACGAACATACTCGCTTGCTACTTGTAAGCGTATAAAAAAAATAATATAATCATAAAACTTTTAGTTTCTAATATCAACAATTTATATAAAATCTACATGATGTTATTATAATGTGTGTATTTCTAAGCTAAATATACATACATATAACTTAAAACAACATTGCACTACGATAATTACAAAAACTCCTAGAAATATGAGGTTCGAATCATAGAGGTACAAGCTACTCTTTTTCAAAAAATATGTTATAAAACATATGTTTGGATGAACATACTCACTTACTACCTGTAAGCGTATAAAAAAAATAATATAATCATAAAACTTTTAGTTTCTAATATCAACAATTTATATAAAATCTACACAATGTTACCATAATGTGTGTATTTCTAAGCTAAATATACATACATATAACTTAAAACAACATTGCACTATAATCCTATGATATGTTAGGGTTACATTATTTTTTATATATAAACGAACTTAAAATATTTCAGTGTGAAGCAAAAGGAAGTACTAAATGAACGTAATATTCTATCGTTCTTATAGAATTTTGGGAATTTAACAGTATCACAACATTTGATTAGAAATACAAGAACTGAGATATTAGAGAATTAAATTGATAATGAACTAGAAAATACAAATAGACACCCAAACATTTGGAGGAACTTGAAACCCTCCTCCAAGTAAACTCAAGCCCAAAGAACTCAAACCATTGCCTTCCTTACTCCTCTCCCACTTCGTCCAGGTAGAACCACATCCTACTGGCAAATTCTCTGGCTAATAACTAATATCCCCTTAGTATCTAAGAATGGTAGGCAGAGGGAGAAGGAACAGATAGATATATCACCTAAACTAAAAAAACATAGGAATAATTTTAGTTAAAATCGTTTTTTCCGTTTATCAACTAAAAGTCGAGAACCTTTTAAAACTATATCCTAGAAGTTAGGAACTAAAATGTCACTATTTTAAACTTAGGACTAGGACAAAATAAAAGTCAAAAGTGTATTTTACCTAAAAAGATTCTTGAGTCCATAAATTCTTACTTTCTTAATTAAAGATTCTAATGGGTATTCTCAACATCACCATCACAGTTACAAAATGTAGAGATTTATTTCTTCAAGCAGAATGATATGAATCTTCAAGCTATTGTATGAGGTGCAAAAACGGTTTGTTCAAACGGAGGCAAGACCCTGGTGAACTTAAATGCTATACCCTGCCTCAAAGTGATCTTGTGGGCATGAGCCTAGGTGAAATAAAACTTGTTAACAATTGGGTCTATGTTATCAATTTATTCATTTTCATTATGCGATTGATTTTAATTTTGACACAAAAAATTGTGATACAGAAAATTTTCCATTTACTTCTCTATTCCCAGGATACTAGAAATTAGTGGCTAACCCAGAATTGAGCCATAAGAACTCAAAATGTGTTCTTCACAGAGATAAGCAGTAAGTAAAGCATGATAATGAAGCAAAGGTTGAAAACACAAATGTTTCTAGGTAGAAATGAAACTTAGACTAAAACTACACTAATTAGAACGATGAGGGGGGGGGATCCCAAAATCGAGGCGGCAGATGACTAGTTCCCAAAATTGTTCTCCATTTAATGGAATTAAGCCCTAAATACGTCAAATTAAATCAGAGGAAACGTAGTTATTACCTGACGGAGATTAAGATCTGACGCCCATGAAACCCTTTTTCCTTTGTGCAATCCTCGCATATTTACAGGTACTCAAACTGCTACCTCTTCAAATGTTTCACGGTTAAGAGTCGGAATTTGATCCCGATGAGAATGAAAGCCCGACTGCTATCTCGTAGAATCCGGGCTCCGTTTTTCAAACTTTTAAAGAAGATTTTGTTATCATTCCTAAATCGAAACGTGTCAACAAATTGTGCAAGGTGGAATTGCAGAAGGCTGATCTAGATTTGCATGTAACATAAACAAGACAGAGAGATCGAAGAAAACCCTAGATCCTCTGGTTCAGGCTTCCCGGCTACCGCCTCATCATTTCCTTATGGCTTCGTTTCCTTATTTCAAGTACATTTGTGTTCATTTTGGCTTCTACCAAAATTTACTCTACCTGAGATGCAATGCACTGGATTTGGAAGACGCATTAACTTTAGGTTAAAAAATATTTTTTTTTATCCATAATTTTTAACAATTTTAGTTCACGTTATTCCAATCAAATTAATCCATATCCTAAAAAATTTCATCAAAATTTAATATTATTTTTATTATTTAAACACTCAAAATTCCTAATTAATTTATTGATTTACTAACTTAGTTCAACCTCAGCATTCGAAGGGATTTTCACATCTTTATAAGTAATTTTGATTCCCTCTCTAATCTCTCCTAATCCAGTATATTTGTCTAGCTCTGATATTATTAGTAATCACCAAAATCTACCGTGGGATCTCAAAATTCACTCTCTTTGGGGTTAATATTTTGCTTCCATCTCTAATCGATATCGAATCTCACAATTTACCTCTTTAGGTGCTAGCGTACTTGTTGGCATACTGTTCGGTATCTGACTCTGATACCATTTGTAACCGTCAAAATCCACCGTAGTAATGAATTTCGTTTCCCTCTCTAACCGAGTGAGATCTCACAATCCACTCCCTTTGGGGACCAGCATACTCGTTGGCGCATTGCTCGGAGTCTGACTCTAATACCATTTGTAATAGCCAAAGCCTACTGCCCGTAGATATTGCCCGCTTTGGCCCGTCACTATCGCTGTTAATCTTACGATTTTAAAACACGTTTACTAAGGAGAGATTTGCACACACTCACAAGGAATACATAGTGTAACACTAATTTTTAAATAAAAATTAAATCATTACAAATTTATTACAAATTTAACCCTGTTCTTTTTTTTTTTTTTTTTTAGAAAATTGAAAGTAAATAAACTAATTGTTATTTTCGACCGACCAAAATAATTTCAACATGTATGATCTCTTGGTTGAAAATATATACTTTAACCAAATGTATGTTTTAAACGTCTAACCTCAACTTCGAGGGATGTAGTGCCTACTAACGCTAAGCGGCTTATTACTTGCTACCTCTATATATTTTTTCTACTCCTAGTAGATATTGTTCTATTTGAAATTTGTAATTTTCACGCCCGTAAATCACACCTTTACGTGCAAGCTTCGTTTCCAATCTAACCAATAAACATAATAGTGTTGTGACCCAACTTCTTCTGAATCTCCAAAGAACATTAAAGGTACAAAGGGAATATAAATAAGAGAGGGCTCAATTATTTTCTGTTTATAAAGGTAAAAAACCTGGGGAAAAAAGAATACATATCCTTTGAATCTCTTCATCACACTGTAGCTAGCTCAAACACAAACACAAACACAAACACAAGCAAAACCATTTGTAACAAATCTAGTAAATATGACGCACACAATGACCACAAACTTGTAAATTACTAACAGGTGATGGAAAATTTTTGAAGGGGGAGGGGGGAAATGGAGAGATAACAAACAAACAAACAATTAGTAGATAGAAATGGCAATTTACACATCTTTCCTGAGCAGATCCACACCTCCTGGCTTCATTAACTAAGCTCATGAAAATGTAGATCAGAAATTAGCTGTGCACGCATTGATGTCAAGTTGTCTCCTCAAGCTGGTTACCACCATGTGGTTGCCTGCTTACCTTCGCCACATTTTCTCTGAAAGTAGGATTCAGGAAAGAAGATGTGACGTTTCAAAATAATTCATATCATGATATACGATGGTAACTTTAGAGATTAATACATTTTAAGAGACATTGTAAATGGACGTGTGTCGATTTAGTTCTTATTTTTGCAAATCACTAACCCCCCTTGTAACAGCCCAAGCCCACCGTTAGCATATATTGTCCTCTTTGGGGTTTCTCTTTCGGGCTTCCCCTCAAAGTTTTTAAAACGCGTATGCTAGAAAGAGGTTTCCATACCCTTATAAAGAATATTTCGTTCTCCTCCCCAACCGATGAGGTGTTAGGAATCACAGATCTCCACAATTGTATGATAATGTCCACTTTAAGCATAAGCTCTCATGTCTTTGCGTTGGGCTTCTCCAAAAGATCTCATACGAATGAAGATGTATTCCTTATTTAAAAACCCACTATCATTCCCTAAATTAGCCAATGTGGGACTCCCTCCCCTCAAACAAATTACAACATAGAGCCTCCACTGAGGCCAATGAAGCCTTGGAACAGAATTCCCTTAATCGAGGCTCGACTCCTTCTCTAGAGTCCTCAAACAAAGTACACTTTAGTCACTTTTGACTACACCTTCGAGGTTCACAATTCTTTGTTCGACATTTGAAGATTTCTATTGACATGGCTAAGTTTAGGGCATGGCTCTAATACCATTTTAGGAATCACGAATCTCGACAATGGTATGATATTGTCTACTTTGAGCATAAGCTTTCATGGCTTTGCTTTGGGCTTCCCCAAAAAGCCTCATACCAATGAAGATGTATTTCTTATCAACGTGAGGATCTCACACCCCTCACCCCCACTTTAAGAAGTATACGTAGCATCACTTGAAGAAGTTAAATTGAGAGGAATGCGTACCATTTCCCTTCACTCCCTGCTGGGTTCGAGATGTTGACTGCTGAATGCGTGGAGATCCTTGCCGGCCATCAGCAGGTAAGGAATGCCTTTTCTTGATGTATAATTCTCCATCTTGAACATCCGGACTTGATCTTGGGGAGTTGGTTGAGGCCTTGGCTCTAGCAGATTGTGTGGCTTGCATGAAGTGAGGAAGAGAGTTGCTACTAATGCTCTCTTTTAATTCCTTTTCAACATTTTCCGGTCGTGCTGAATCAAATGAGTTTCTTCTCTTCCCAGTCTTCTGATCTTTGTAAGAATTATCTGTACTACTCCTCGTGCCAGAATTGCAATTTAAACTGGATGGTGATTTCTTTCCTGCTGATGGAGACTTTTGCTTTTGGCTCTTATCAGTTTTATCCCGTTTAGCCTTTATTGATACCTGACTAGACGGTGTTCCTTGAGATTCTGGAACATTTAAATGACTTCTTGGAGAAGCTTCTGGAGATGATCTGTATGTTTGATGATCGTGACCCGTACCGGCCTCCTTTTCTCTCTGCTTATCTGATGAACTTCTCTCTAGCTTTGATTCACTAACTTCTGGTGCAGAGTCTACAACAGCTACTGAAGTGATGGAATGGCCATTAGATTCACTAACTTCTTCTGGTTGATCCACAAGAAGTTGAGTACCTTTTTGCATTGGAGTAATAGAACCCTTGACTTCAACTTCCGTGATTAGATCACTGCTAGGATCTTGGACTCTTTTCTTTGAAACATCATTTGAATGTGGATCTGCCACTCCTGCTTCGGATATACCAGGTGAATCAAGGGTGGAAGAAATAGAGAGCTCGGTGCCACATTCAGAGACACCAACTTGAACTATCCTAGATGCCGGAAGGACAATATTTTCATCTGCACTTGACTCCTTCGTCCTCGGTGAAGTATCTGTTGTGGATGATACTGTTTCAGAATGAGGTTCAATTCCATCATCTTGATACATTGATCTAATTGTTCCAGTTGAATATGATGGTGAACTCAGCTGTTCAAATTTTTCCTGGGCATTGATAAATGATGGATTGTTCACCTTCCTTAATCCAAGCACAAATTTCTTACCCTCATTCTCCAGTTGTTCGGGGGCTAATCTTTTCAGAGGATTCGACTCTGTTTGTAAACCTACATCATCCATCTGTATTTTCTGATCTTGAACAGAACTAACCTTAGTTGATATCTCTTTAGCTTCAGCTGTTCTAGCAGTCTCTGGAAGAGGCTGCTCCAGATTATCTTTTACTAATGAAGATGGAGAGCAGCTGGTCTGAGATTGTAAGTTATCGGCGTCATAAGTCATTAAATCTTCACTTTCAGATGGTGAAACTGATTTAATGGTGCTGGAGTTCAAATCTTCTGTTTCAGACAAAGCTTTTGAGTCAATTCGATCCTCAGCATGAGACTCCTTGATTTCTCCTTTCGTTAGCTCAGTGTCTGATTCTTCTCTCTTCAGCTCCTCGGTTTCTTTTTCCAATTGATCAGGGGCCAGTTCTTCTTCCTTCGGCTCCAAGACATCCGATGATGAAACAGCCATCCAGCGCTCCAACCATTTCCAAGCAGAGTCGTTTTTGGAAGGATCACACTTGATTTTGATTGGGTTGTTCCTTGGTGTTGATTCCAACAACTTCATGTACAAAATTGAGGGATAAGATTAGCACACCGCATAGTGGCCAAACAAGGAACCAAAACATCTAACATTATCAAAATACCTGCCGGGCAAAATTATTGCTAAGTAGCTTTTCAATTGAAATATATCTCAAATTGGATTTTGTTCTCCCTCCCTTCGCCTGCAATATAAACGATATTGTTAAAACAGGGCAAGAAAAATTATCTAGGAATGCATAATGAAGTAAATCAAAATACTATCTTGTGAAAAGTTAAATGGAAGAAACAGAACGCCAATAAAAACAATGAACAACCAAAATTACATCTAAATCTTGCAAAGTTGGGTCCAGTTTCTCAAGATGACATGATTTGAAAACCAGAAGAATTACCATGATTTTTGAACCAGGATTTTCCTTCTCATTCTTCTTATGCAGCTCATCTGGAGCTGATCCCTCAGGAGAGAGACGAGCACGACGAGCACGTACAATAGCTTGCATTTTGACAATGGCTTGAGCACAGCGAAGTGTTCCCACAGCATGTCTCCTTACCAAGAACCCACGAACAGCAGCTTGCACCTTTATCACATTCTTGAGTTTAAGCAGCTCCCTCTGTGCCTGCCAACATGTCATGGATGGAGATGTTAGAACTTCATTAAACAACCGATAAGAATCTCAGGCTAAAGAACTTCTGAAATTGAGAGTACCAAGAGCCCCCTGACACCAGCCTGGATGACAACAACAATAGCCTCCTCAACCTCACTATCAACCTTATTTTCAATTTCGGATGCATCATCCACCTTATCAGATCCTTTAGGATTCTCAACGTTAGGCACATGGGTCTCCTCATTAGTGAAGTGTATTACAGTGGGTTTCTCAGGAACAGTGGAGCTAGGTGATGATTGGAAGTCGAAGGTAGTAGTTTCAAGATTCTCCTTCTCTGCAGCAGGAGTTTCTGCGATTACAGTGTTGTTGAGCACACGATGCTGGGAAGATTTCTTACGGAAACTCCAGGTTCGTTTGTCTTTAGAATCCTTACTCTGTAAGTAGAATTAAATACAACAAACTACTGTAACAGACAGAAGATACACGTCGAAATGGAAGTACGTAGACGCAGTAAATTGATTCCTAGATGCAAGTGCAACAATACCAATAAATTCACCAGAATTCTTTAAACAGTAGAATCCAGAGTCGGATTCTTATTTTCTAAAGCAATCTCAACCAGATCAGAAAACTCATTTTACAAAGAATTAACAACGCATAAGCATAACTTCAACTCATTCTCATGTCGAAAATTAAACCACAACCAGAACCGATCCATTCAATGCCATTCAATCTTCTAGCAATCGATTGCATTGCCAAAACTGAAACAATTCAATGTTCTTCACAACCAGAAAATCTAGTCGGCAAGAGATGCAAATCAAGCTCAAACAAAACAACACTCATGGGGGAAGTCGATGAAATCAAATCGAAACAAATACTTACCTCAAGTACATCGATCTCATCTTTGTCCTTTGAATCGCTACCACATGTGATTATTTGAAAGCATGAGCGAGGCCTCCCCATGTTAAGCTTATCCGAATCTCTCTCTCTCTCTCTCTCTCTCTCTCTCTGTGCAGAGGACAAAACGGCCTATAATGGTGCGGTCTTGGAAATTGTAGCGAGAGAGAGAAGAAAAGATAAAAGTAGAGATGCTGTAACAAGAGACACGGATCTTAAAGCATTCCTTAAATCTAGCTCGGTTCTTCAGTTGAATTCCGCCATGGGAACAGCTCCGTCGACCTCAACGATCAGAAGAAATTCAGAGAAGACGAGAAGAAGCTGTCAGATCTCTCCGCTTCTCATTCTCTCATCTCAAACAGATGCTGTTTAACTTTTCAAACCGTTTGGGGGAAAGAAAAAAGAAATTGTGGCTTTAAAATAATAAATAAATAAATAAATAAAAACAAAAGCAATATCCCGAGATATACGTCGAGAGAATCGCGAGAAATTCCCCCTTTCCCCAAATTAGATGATAAATAAATAAATATTATTTTTGTTTGGTTTATTTTAGTTGCTCAATTTTAAGATCTATTTCATTTATTTTCATTGGTCATTTGGTATTCCTACTTTTAGCTTTAGTCCAACGGCATCGTGTATGTATTTTTATTGAAAATTTTAAATTTCATTAAATTCAAATGGTTTTGGTACTTTTTTTACCTTAATCTTACAGTAAAAATTATATAATCTTTCTAAACAAATAAATAAACCACCGTTAATATTAATAATGTTTATAAGCTTATTTTAAAGTTTTAAAAATTATAGTAGGACTACGCATTCGTTGAAAAAAAAGGCAAATGAAACATTCTTTACAAGAGTATAAAAACCTCTCCATGTTAAATCTTTTTAAAATATTTAGGCTGACAACCATATATAATGGGCAAAAGCAGATAATGTTGGTTAACGGTGAACTTGAGATGTTACAAATGATCTTAGAGCTAGACATTGGGTGATGTGTCAGTGAGGACACTAGACTCTAAAAAATATCTAGATTATGAGATCACACATCGATTAAAGAAGAAAACAAAACGTTCTTTACAAGAGTATAAAAACCTCTTAACTATAAAGCTGGCGGCTACAGACTAAAATGGATAACGTAAGAATGTGTTGTTACATTTATTTGCTTAAACTAAGCGTGTAATTTTAGCATATATCAGATTTTATATTTTTATTAAAATTGATTAAATAATACATATAAAAATGATTTTTTAATCTATTTAAAAATGGTAAATGTTAAAAATAATAATAATAATAAAAGGGCATCCCACGTGTCTCAGGAGAGAGAGAGGTAAAAAATAATAGTAACCACCCTGCGGCCTGCACTGGTAGCTCTTTTGTCTCCAACCGCCACGTGGACCTGGCATGAGTTGGCACATCTACCCAAACAAGCGGGCTACTTTTGTCTTTTTGCTAGTCCGTCCAGATAATACTATTTTTCTATACAAGTTAAATGACAAAATTAATTATAATGGTAATAATTATTATTATTTTCTTTTTTATAAAATTATAATAGTCATATACGAGTGGGATTAGGAATGGGTTGTTACACTAAGAATCTGCCACGTGGATCCCATATATATATATATATATATATATATATATATAGATTTTAATTAAGGTACATAATTTATGCTCTAAAGTCGTCTCATAACATGATTTTGTTATAACAGATAATATATTCTGTCAAACTAATAATAATATGCTTTTTTTTTCCTAAATTTCCATATTCTCTAAAGCATATCCTAAGCTCATTTAAATGGATTTATGAAAATAATTCATTATACCGAATTTGTCCAAATATAACGCTCAGTACCCAGAATTTAGAGTTAGCTATAAAGTGGAGTTTTGGTTAATTTCAGTACAATAAAATAATTTTGACATGTCTCAAGTAGTTACTCGATACCCAACACTTCGTGGTTTTGACATTTCCCTCCATCCCGTACAACATGATTATATTACATACGTATCTCAAACTACTAAAAGTTAAAACTGTCTTCATAAACCTACACGGGTCATTTTAGCTTATTTTATTCTCACTTACATGCTTCATAGATGAGCGTACACCTTACTGATATAGCCAGTAATTTTCAGTTCTTTTAAGTTTTTCTTACATTATATACTTAAAATCGCTCTCATTTAAATGTAGTATCGATTTATTCATGTGCTCTTTTTTACTCGGGCACCAAAGTTAGATCATGGGTCGAACGATTCTCAAACCCTAATTTTTTATGTTCCTAAATCAACTCATTGATCCAGACGAACTTTCTTCTAAACGAAAATAAAACCGAATCATACCCTAATTCTTTCTAGAATTATCGTTCAAAATTGACTATACAATGAACAACATTCTCATTAGAGACCATGAAAAGCAATAAATCAATGACTCACCTCACCCACCAAACCAACATATTAAAGCCAAAGTTGGATCATAAGTCATAGAATTATTGGTACCTATTTATGTCAACTCTTCTTCCATTTAATCTAACTTAATTGTTTGGTTTCAAATCTCAATCATTAATTCCTTTCCCCTTGTATTCAAGTTATGAACTAACACCAAATCCCCACCTACCCTTTATTAGTGTTATACCTATTTATTTGTCGAGCTATTAACACGATGATTTGATTTCACGATATTTTAAGAATTCAGATAAAATTTTCACCTAATTTCGTTGTTTCTACTGACTAATATGAACATAGTTTAGTGGGTATTGTTGGATGATGAAAGTCCCACATCGGTTAATTTAGGGAATGGTCATGGGTTTATAATCTAAGAATACACTCTCCATTGGTATGAGGCCTTTTGGGGAAGCCCAAAGCAAAGCCATGAGAGCTTACGCTCAAAGTGGACAATATCATACCATTGTGGAGAGTCGTGTTCGTCTAACATGGTATCAGAGCCATGCCCTAAACTTAGTCGTGCCAATAGATTGGCAAATCCTTAAATGTCGAACAAAGGACTCCAAAAGGAGTCAAGCCTCCTCGAAGGTACGAAGGCAGTCAAAAATGACTAAGACTCCAAAGGAGTCGAGCCTCGATTAAGGGGAGGAGGCGTGCTTTGTTCGAGGGGAGGTGTTGGATGATGAAAGTCCCACATCGGTTAATTTAGGGAATGGTCATGGGTTTATAATCTAAGAATACACTCTCCATTGGTATGAGGCCTTTTGGGGAAGCCCAAAGCAAAACCATGAGAGCTTACGCTCAAAGTGGACAATATCATACCATTGTGGAGAGTCGTGTTCGTCTAACAGGTATGACCATTTTTACATTAATCTCGTGAAGGATTGAACCAATTTTTTTCTTAAGTTTTTAACGTTCACAAAGTTAATAAATACAATCCTGTAAATTTCGGAGCAAATTATCGATACAGAAAGTTAAAAAGTAAAATTTTGTACGATCTCTAAGACAGGAAGTTAAAATTAATGAGAGGATCTTAGGTGCAAGAAGCACATGACAAGCAACCTCACATGAAAAAAGAAAGAAAAAAAAAGCATAAATGTCTTTAAGAGAGAAAAAAAAAAATGATTCTCATAATGGTAATAAATAAAAAAAGAAAAGTGCTTTTCAACGGGCCATTATTTGAAAACTGCTCCCACATTGTGACCACTTACCTTTTTTTAGGGATAAACTTGGGGCCTTATTTTATATTTATTTATTTATTTATTGGTCCCTCCCCATTATTAACGTTGTTCTTACCCATAACTCAAAATAAATAAATAAATAGAACAATATATACTAGATATGGACTTGGGCTATCCCACGTTCCGTCCCTTATAGAAACTTTTTCTTAACAAATATATTTTAAACCTTTTTGGGAAGGGAAAGTCCAAAGAGGAGACAGTATCTGATATGAACCAAGAGACATCAATCATACAATATGCTTCAATGAAGATATGAAGAAAATATCGTTGAAATTATCAAATGATATTTCAATTCATGGCACATTGAAGAAGAATGAAGTTTCATGTTCTAAATTTGGGGTGAATTACATTTTAGAGTAATTTAGAGTTGTTATATTTTATTTATGTATTTTAAGACTTTTTATTTACTTTAGGTTACAATTACATCATGGTTAATTATAGTCATTAAGTATGAATGTTACAACTCTTCGAATACCTTAATAGTTTCATTTTGAGGCTATATAAAGCCATGTATGTTGTATTTGTAAGTAGACTTGGAAAATATATAGTAAAAGAAGCATTTGTGCTTCCTTTAGCCAATGACTAAGTTTCTTTGCAATTCTATGTAGTTTAGGTTGCATGTAGAATCATTCAAGCTTGACATGATCAATTTTACCTGTGGAGTGATTCGAATCTCAAGCAAGTGTTCTTGCCTTGAGATATTTGATCAACAAGAATCATTCAAGCTAGACATGATCGATCTTGCTTGTGGAGTGATTCGAATCTCAAACAATGTTCTTACCTTGAGATATACGATCAACAAGGTAATTCGAATCTTACTCCCCTTGTAGTGGTTCCTTATCTTATCATTTGGTATCAGAGCCAGGTTAAAGAAAGCACAAATGCTTCTTATTATGTCAAACTTGAATGATTCTACATGCAACCTAAACTACATAGAATTGCAAAGAAACTTAGTCATTGGCTAAAGAAAGCACAAATGCTTCTTTTATTGTATATTTTCCAAGTCTACTTACAAATACAACATACATGGCTTTATATAGCCTCAAAATGAAACTATTAAGGTATTCGAAGAGTTGTAACATTCATACTTAATGACTATAATTAACCATGATGTAATTGTAACCTAAAGAAAATAAAAAGTCTTAAAATACATTAATGAAATATAACAACTCTAAATTACTCTAAAATGTAATCCACCCCAAATTTAGAACATGAAACTTCATTCTTCTTCAATGTGCCATGAATTGAAATATCTTTTGATAATTTCAACGATATTTTCTTCATATCTTCATTGAAGCATATTGTATGATTGATGTCTCTTGGTTCATATCAGTATCTCATATCACTGGGATTGGGCTGTTACAACATTCAAAGGAAGAGGAGGACAATATATACTCGCGGTGGACTGTGACATTTGCGGGTGATAAGCTTGGGGTGTCATAAAATCTGGTCTTAAAGAAGAGGAGACCGTATCCCCTAACACTAGAATTGGGCTGTTACAACATTCAAAAGAAGTGGAGGACAATATATACCAGTGGTTGACTGGGGCATTTGCCAGTGACAAGCTTGGGTTGTTATAAAATTTGACCTTAAAGAAGAGAAGAATAATGTCGGTTAGTGAAAGGCTTGAGCGGTATGATTATGTGAAGTTCGAAGTCGTTTAAAAAACTATACTTATTTTTTTTATAGATTTTGGAAGGGCCACTTTTGATATGGTTAATAAAGTGATGAAGATTTTCATGTAGGCTAAGGGCAAAGTAATTGAACCCTAATAATCAATGCAATCAAATCTATGCAAATGAAATATGTAGCTTTGAGTATAATGGCAATATCTTTTTAAGACCATTTGGATAATATTTTGCTATAATGAAAGTCTACTCCATTTGGATCAATCACCTACTTTTGGCTTTTAATGGGAGGATAAATAATTTAAAATCTTTAAAAACTCTTAGTTTAATTATTATAAAAAAGTTTCAATAATTTTTTTATAAAAAAAAAAGTCTAAAATAAAATATCTTTAATTTTAAATAAAAAATGATTAATAATTTATTTCAAAATTACCCTTAAACTTTTAAGGCGTAATACAACGTAAATTAGAATATCAATGCAAGACTATTAGTCAAATCTTGCACGTAAATTTAATTGAGCCCGAACAGTCAGTTAATAAACGTCTCTTCTTAACTTATGATTGTATCTATGACTAAAATTGAATTGTAAAATTACTTAAACATGAAGTTATGTAAATAATTTTGTCGTTTATGTTTTTTAGATAAAGATTTAGTGCTAATTTCTACGGTATTCGATTAAACTAGAAATTCAATCCCGACCCTTCACTGTAATCAGAAAATGAAGATAGTGTGGGTAGAAAATGAAATCAAAGGTTTTGATTAATATAATCCTAAAGTTGGTGGAAATGATAATTGAAAATGTGACATGTTTGGTTTGATTGATGTTTTTTAATGAAACACTGTTGAAAGTAAGGTCAGTTGTTGCAGCTTGAGAGCTACTGATGCTTACTCCCAAACTTTTCAAACTTTCGTTTTTTAAGCAAAATCATGTCTCGTGGTCCCACTCCCATAGTGTGTCCCGAAAAAACTTTTGGAATTTAATCTAACAAATTTGTTGGAGAATAAGACCTTAAAATTGAATTATCTACGAACAAAAATAAATGGAAAAAAATTGGAATGAATAGCTTAATGATCAAGATCAAGAATAAAGAAAACCCATTTTATAAATTTGTGATTCAAACCATAACGAGACTACTTAAATGACTCTAGCATGCAAATCTAAACTCAAGGTGGTAACTTTCACGACCATTTATATGATAATAATAATTCTCTAAAATTTAAAAAATATAATAAAATCTCCTTTAACATTTTTATTGTCTTAAATTTTTTTTTCTTGCCTTTAAAATTTGAGTAATTAGCATAGTTCAATTGGATTAGATATATTATTGGGATATTAGATGGTGACGACGTGTCGGTAAAATGAGCCATATCGGATGTAGTGGAGAGACATTGATGTATCTTACTGAGTGACAAATCCGTTTCCTTTGTGGCTAATAATTGGAAAGGCCCAAATTACTGAACTTAGTTAGGCCCATAGGTTGATAAGCCCAATACATTGGGCCCAGGAAAAAAAAAGGCAAGCTCCAACGTTGAGTCATGCATGCGGCATAGAGTGATTACGTGTTATAACATAATTCGTCCGTGATACAACTTCCATCACCGACCCGACGTTTTTACACCTGGATCGATCATGCCGAAGGATTTTCATCTGCAAATCACGGCCGTCCAAATTTCGAGCCAAATTCCAAATTTTCTGCCTAAAACTACTGGCTCGAACGGTTATAAAGCCTGCGATCTGTTCCTACTTCATAATCCAAAAACCCTAATTCCGTAGTACATAGCCGTCTTTCCAGCTTACAAAGCCGCTTAAATTTTCTTTCAGTTCCTCTGGTTTTCAATTCGTTCTTTACTCTTTCATGTCGATGTTGAGATCTTTTAGGGCAAATTACTGCGTTCTCGAACAGAGTTCGCAACTTTTATCTTAGCAATTGGCATTGAGTTCGGATTTGGAAGAGGCCATATGACGAACTTTCGAATGGTAGAATGCTCTTGTCTACGAACTTGTAGCATTATGATTAACCAATTTGTATAGGAAGATCTGATGCCTCTCCTTACCAATTTCGTCTTGTTTTCTTTCCTATCGATCTATTTGATTCATTTTTGTTTTTCAATCTTATGGATTATAACTCGCAGTATGTTTTCCGAGGGTTCTGGTGACATTTTCTTCTTCTGGATGATGAGAACATGAAATTACAGTTATCCCTGGCTGATTCGAAATGCTGATATTTCTTACTCTGACAGTACTGATTTTTGGATTGAATGGTTTCTTTCTTTTTTCATCGACTTTTTCGTTTTTTTTTTTTTTTTCTTTCTTTCTTGATCTCTCTATTTGCTCATAGGTGTGGCCAGTGATGATGAGTTTTTTTTGGTTCACTGAGATGCAAAAATGTTGCATTGGTGTTGAAGCTTTTTTGAACTAGGACGGTCTGAGGCTACCACCTTTCTGCTTTGCCTTTGTTTATATGCTATGAAGCTTAATATCATTTTTTCATCAAATCTTCTTTCTTTATGTGTGGAATTTTCGTCTTTTTCATTGCATATGGAATGGATGATTTTCAGGGGTTACGGAGAATTTTGAATAAATTTGGGTTCTTAATTCTAGTTGAAATTATGTGGGTGATGAAACCATTATATATCAGTTATCCCTGTCTGATGCTTTGGTGCTGATGATTCATGGTCTGACACACACTTGGATTGATTCCCAATAGTTCCAACATCTTTCGAGTGTTCCAAAATTGTCTTAGAACCCATAATACAATAGAATGTTGGTTTAAATTTAAGATATGAAATGAAGAACTAGTGATTTTTATGGCAATCTGCTTGGCTATTAGAAATGGATTGATTGAGATTACCCGTGATATTGATATATACACATATGACCCTGCCAATTAAATCATTGGCCTCACAAAAGCTACTGTTTGTGCAATAACCTAAAGAGTTTGTAGACTAATTGAATCCTAATGGATTTGAAGCTGCATAGACAACAATTACATATTTAAAGGTTGATGCAGATGGTAGACTACAAAAATCATGACGGCCATAGTATAATATTCAAGGACAGCCCTGAGAAATACTAAAGTCATACCTTTACAGTTATTTGAAGCAAGTAGGATCTTGCTAAGGCTTTACAGAGATAACTACTAAAAGAAAGCCACGAGAAAATGAGGAAAATAAAAAGGTTGCCATGGCTTGGAAGCACTTGCCAATGTCTTTTCTTTCAGAACAAACTTAGTGCATGCGAGAAGCTCAGAACTTTAGGCTGAAGGCAGAGATAGCTACAAACTCATTACATTTTTGGATGTTATTCCATCCTTTATTCTTATGCTGAAAGCGGGAGAAACTTCGTCACAACCTAACGTTAAAGAGTGTAGGTTATGATTCTCACGTTGCGACAAGAGCAGCGGCACTCTTATTGCTGGTCGTATGCGTGTCAAGTTCACAAATCTGCATGCTTGAAAAATATGATTGAAGCACCTAACTAGTTTGGCAATTACCTCCCTACTCCATAATTAAGCTTGTCACTACTTTATGGTGATGTAACGGTTTGTTCCATGCTTTGCCCAGTTATTCTTAAGATCAACTGGAGCTGAAAGATCGTGGCCTTCAGCTGTGAGGCGGTTAAGCAACTTGTTAAAGGCGCTTCCGCTCATCTTGCGACCACCAAGTCGAGCATGTCGTTTATTGGGAACTGCTGGTAGTGGATACATTGAGATGGTGGTTGTACAACATGCAGACTGCCATCCACCATTTCCCCATTTGTAGCACTGTCTTATAACTCCTGTGCAGGAGCATATTGGTGCTGGCATGGTAGATTCATCAAAGGCTACCTGATTCAATCCCAGATCTTGGCCTTTCCAATCTGACTGTTTGTGATCATTACCAATTCCATGAGCCTTGCCCACCATTACCTTATTCAAGTCTTCACTCTCTCTTTTGACCTTCCTTGGAGCCTTTGAAACCTTCTTGTTTGGTGTTGTAACGGTCTTTCCCTCCTGTGTTCGCTTCTTTCGTCGTGTCTTTGTCAATTCAGAAGCAACTGGGGATAGTGGGGAAGCTTCATTTGGATGCAACTCTCTCGAATTGTAATTACTTTCATTCATATGGGGGATATGAACTGTGTGCTGCTGTGGGTGATGTATATGCTTCACTCCTCTAGCGATTTGGCATCCCGGTGGACATGATAAACTGTTATTTGGTAGGGAGCTATCACGATACTGAAGGGTTGCAATGGCATTGTCTCTTTCCAATAGGGCGTTGTTCCTCTCTGCAATTGCAGCATCTCGCTGTAGAAAAGCCATGTCTCGCTCTGCTAATGCAGCCTTTTTCTCTGAAAGGGCTAAATTTCTCTCTTGAATGGCTGCGTCTCTTTCAGCCATAATCGTCATTATCTGCTTCATTGATGGCTGATGCTGCATCATCCACTGCCAACACAAATTCAAACCAAGTTCATCAAAAACTTGAAAAGACTTTTATTCATCCATTAACCTTTTATTCATCCAAATCTTGATACCTGGCCCTGAGCTGACTTATAGTGATCTGTTTTGTGCCTTCCATTCTCTCGATGTCCACCATCGTCCATTTCTGACTCCAAACTAGTAACCAACACAAAACAGTAACAAAAATCTTCCATTTAGCCAAATTCCCATATTGTTGAATCTCAAAAGAAGTGCATTGATTCAGCTTTAAGATTCCTATTACGTTCCCATTTTACTTGAAAAAACATGAACACAACGGCAGATATTTCCTAAATGTAACTTGGTGAGATAACACAAGGGAAGATTCAAAAACACCTCCTAAACTTCTGGAAAATAATATACAATCAGGAAAGAAAACAACAGGCCTGTGAAATTGAAGCAATAGATATGAGCAGCACGAGCAATTCATTCACAGTTTAAGCAAAAAGAAGATGAACAGTAGACTAAAGATAGTTCAGAGTAGTAGATGATACTTCACCTGTAATCAGAAGATCAAACAAGAATTCACTTAGGAAATGAAATGAACGTTAGAAGTTTTGATCCCCAGTCAGCTTCCTCATGTCGTCCTCCTTCAGATCATCTGGACAATGCAATTCAATGTTTCAGAATTCAATTGATACCACAAAAACGATCGAGTCAAAGTGGCTGCAAAAAGCATTTTCATTGAATTCAACGGGTTCAATGAGCTCGAATCAGCTGGAAAATAAGGCAATAAAGGCTATAGAGTAGGAAGATCCGATTCTTTACTATAACCAGGAAAGTAAGCGGGAGTCAGCTCTTTTACTTCTAAGTACTGAGCTTAAAGCAATACCTTCAACTCCAAAAGAAAAAGAATACGCACAACAAATTCCTCAACTAACGACCAGAAGCAGACGAAACCCTAAAAAACAAAAATCCCCAAAATCATACGGCAAGCTTCATCTCAACAGCAAATGACCGAAACAGAGCAAAATCGAAGAAGATTCCACAGAAAATGGAATGAATAAAGAGAACGGAGAAGCCACAACAAGAATGAAGAAGTAAAAGAAGTATCTATAATATACGATTCAAAAGGAAATAAGGAACGAAAATAGAAAGTAAGTTTGAAAATGGATAAACATATAAGAAATCAAAGAGCAGAGAGAAACGGAAGCTTGCCGGTGAGAATAAAGCCGGAGATAGACGAAGCAAAGAGACGACGACGGCGAAAAAGGATTGAAAACCTGTGGAAACAACAGTTGAGTGCAGAGCAGCGGGGCAAAGGAATCTCTCTCTCTCTCTCTCTCTCGTAACTTTATGTCCTTTTCAAATTTTCTCCATTATTTTGGGTTAAATATTTTTATTTAAATTATGTCATATGAACTTATAAAGAAATCTTCTAACTCGTTCCCTAATTTTATAAGAAATTGATTTATTATTTCATTTTATTTTCTTAAGTCAATTACTCAAAATGTTTAGTCTTTAAATGCCATATTCAATATAAATTTGAAATTTTATAGACTTATATAGACACAAAATTAAAAATTAATAATCTATTAAACACCTAATTTGTAATTTAGTCATACAAATAAACTATTTTTTTGTAGCCAACTGTAATTTGCCATGTGGCAATTTTTTTCCTTCCTCTTTTTATAATATTTTATTTAAGGGGGGCGGATTAATCCGCGCCGTTGAAAATGGGGAAAGGAGGTGTCAGGATCTTGCCGCCATTGGACCGGGAAAAGGGCGGCGTTTCAAATGGAATTTTCAACTTTCCCCCGCCTCTTCATGGGTCATCAAACATGTCACGACGACATGTCGTCTTTTTTGTTTCATTCATTTTTGGCAATTGTAGAAAAACACTTTTATTTTATGTACTACTGGAAGAAAGTTACATAAATTTTTTCCCTAAAAATACTTTAAATTGTTTTTTTAATTTATCGAACTGAGTTTTTTAAAAAAAAAAATATCAATTAGTTAATTTTAAAAGAGTTTTTTTTCTCTTTTAAAATTTGGTGGCTTCCGTCAAATATAATTAATATTTGTATCAATAAAAATTATTGAGATTTTTAGTTTCACCCGTAAATAAGACTTACAATGATTAATAGTAGAGATTGTAATAGTTGAGTTTTTTTTTCTTTTAGGAGAATGATTATCGCCCTCTGTGAATTTGGAAGTAGGCCTCGCTTTTCGAAGGTGCTCCCAGCCGAAAATGCATGCTCCATGTAGCTTCAATCTCGACCCTGATCGAAGCAAAAAACCCACATACATGTACCAAAGTTTGTCGAACATTGGTAAGATATATGTAAACAAAAATTTGGAAACAAGAGATTCAATGAAAATAGAGTTTGTATTTCAAGTTTTCAAATATTTGATATCAAATTAAGAGCAGAGGTCAGTCCTTTGATTCCTTCTTCTCAATGCTCGACTGATTCAATATCAGCACGCCCATTACAATCAATATGGCACCTACAAACCACTGGGAAACATTACATTGGCGTTAAGAGATGCACGTTTGAATGTGTTAATATCTAAGTGTCTGTTTGTAACGAATTTCTAAGAGCTTAAAAATGTGTTTCTAAGCGGGAAAAAAGTGTTTCCCGGCCTTCAGAAAGTCGCTTAAAACAGCTAAGGCAACTTTACATGAGTTGGATGACTCCATAGTACTGTTTGTTAGTAAGTATTCTTCACTGTCATTGGTGACTTCTTTTACATTTATTGGCAAATGACTGATACTGTTGCCGAGTTAAGCATAATAAAATGGTAACGATCAACAACGCAGTAATAAAAAAAGTGTTGCAGCCAACATCATAAGTGTGAACAATATGATAACAGAAGAAGTTTCTTATCTGCTGGAAAGGGACAGAACGAGTTGCAGAGTGTACAGAGACACCAGGAAAACGGATATTAAAGGTCATGGAACCACGACTTGTCTGTAATAGTTCAAGCCCACCACTAACAAATATTGTCTTCTTTAGACTTGGATGGTTACAAATGGTATCAGAACCAAATACCGAGCGGTGTGCCAGCGAGAACGCTGGGCCCCAAGGGGGTGGATTGTGAGATCCTACATTGATTGGAGTGGAGAACGAAACATTCTTTATAAGGTCTAGACACTTGTCCCGAGTAGACGCGTTTCAAAAACCTAGAGTGGAAGCTCAAAAGGAAAAGTCTAAAGAAGACAATATCTGCTAGCAGTGGGCTTGATAGCTCCGAAAATATTTATACGAGATATGCAAAATCCAACCAATATTACTAAAAGAAGTCAAAAGTGTATTGTGCATAAGAACTTGGGCAGAAGCTATGGATATGATCAAGGATTTACCTGAAATGATAATGCTTCTTCGAACAAGAAGAAACCGGCTAGACCAGAACAAAGAAAGTTTGCTGAAAAGTTGGTCCCTGTAGCTTGTAATGACGAGAGAGCTTTTAAGCTGTTGACATAACATCCCCACATTGCCAAGTTGAACGCAATTACCAGTCCATACCTAATTAACTGTTCAAGAAAAAGAAGTGCTAAGATCAAAACCAAAGTAAGAGGGAAACTGGGTATGTCGGTTTCCAACTTATGGCAGCTTCCTCTAGATATTTGCATGTAATTTAATTTGAAGTCTAAAAATAGGCAATGCCTCATATTGATTGATGCTTTTATGAAACAAAAGAACTTCCCATTGATGTATTGAAAAGTTCGAACAAATCTATGATATCCCATATCGGTTGGAGAAAGGAATGAAGCATTCTTTTTAAGGGTGTGGAAACATTTCCCTAACAAACGCGTTTTAAAATCGTGAGGCTGACGGCGATACGGAACAAGCCAAAACGGTCAGTATCACCTAGCGGTAGGCTTGAGTTAGTACAAATAGTATTAGAACCAGACACCGGATGGTATGCCAGTGAGGACACTAGACGGTATGCCAACGAGGACACAGAGTCCCCAAAGAGGGTGGATGATCATCCAACACAACTCACTCCCAAGGAGATCCAAGATTGATAATTATCTGACTTCGAACCAAGAAGAACAGTAGGAACCAAGCTGCAAAGAGTAAACTACCTATGAATTTGTCCTTCCAGAACGAAGCCTTTCTCCTCGTTACAAACATAATTGAAGAAAGACCTACATATGACACCTAAGTTTGGAGATGCACCAAGGACTTCACTTCCACTCGTCTTGCTGTGGGTAACCTTCCCGAATTCATCTTTACCATAAGTGTGCCATAACTCGTTTGACAGAGTCTCCACTCCAATAATAGATCTAGTCCACTACTAGCCGATATTGTCTTTTTTTGGCGTTCCTTTCAAAGACTTCCCCTCAAGGTTTCCATCTTTACTCATCTTTACCAAGAGAGGTTTCCACACCCTTGTAAGAAATGTTTCATTCCCCTCTCCAACAGACGTGGGTGTGAACGCACGTGGGACCTCACAACCCCCACATTCACTGAATCCTTCTTCCTTAAACTACCTATACTCTTCTCTTCAGATTGTAAGAGGTTAAACACAATACGCCAAACCCAACAAATTCCAATGGATCTTATGGTCATATTCTAAGTTTAAGGAGATATACCGTAAGAGCCCAAGTCCACCGCTAGCATATATTGTCCGCTTTGGCCCGTTATTTGGTTTTAAAACGTGTCTACAGGGGAGAGGTTTCCACACCCTTATCAAGAATGTTTTGTTCCCCTTTTTAACCAATATATGATCTCACAATTCACCCTTTTTTGGCCCAGTATCCTCACTGGCACACTACCCGGCGGTACATATTGTAACAGCCCAAGCCTACCATTAGCCAATATTGTTCACTTTGGTCGGTTACATATAGTCATTAGTCTCATGGTTTTAAAACGTGTTTGTTGGAAAGAGATTTTCACACTTTATAATAAATGTTTCGTTCCACTGTCCAATCCACTTGAAATCTCACATATAATCAGATTGCTAATATACACTAACAAAAGCTATAAATACTAGCCAAAATCCAGTAGACTGCCAATTTGCAACGTCGATATTATATGTGCAGAGGCGATTGCAATATGATTAGAACGAGAATGATGAAAAACTTCAGACAATTGACAAAAGCAGCTCGTGATTGTGTTGGCTCATACAAATTAGGGCAAATCATCGCATCATCGTGAAACGGTTCGTAGGGGAAAGAAATGGAGAAAGATTACCGTAGAGGAGAAAAGCTTGGCGGCAATGGCAGCGAACGCAGCGTTGAGACCAGCTGAAATTGCCCACATGTAACCCTTCTTCCCCTTTCTCCCTTCCATTGCAGGGTTGAAAATTCTCCTCTCTGAGTTGTGCTGTAGTCAAGGAGACGAAAACCTCCATACGTGGCGAACCCGGCTTGGACTGATCGCGGTCAGGATGCCAACCGGCTTAGTCCTAAGTTTTGAGATTCAGCTTCGTGTCGATATAAATATTAAATTTTAAAAAATATAATTTCTCAACAATTCTATTATATATAAAAGATAATCTTTATATGCCTATTCTACCCTTTATTGGAATTAAACTATAAATCAAAGTTTATTTTTAAAAAAATAAAAGCTCGTTGCACAAATTTTAAAATACATACAATTATAAAATAAATAGATATCAAATAAAACTCAAAAAATAGTTTTTGAAGATTTTTTTATTTCTTTAAATTTGATTTAATACTCCATATATTTTTTTAGACAAATAAAACCGTTAAAAAAATGAAAACAAAAATAAATAAACACGATCTTTAAAAATTAAATTATTATTAAGCAGCCATTTAAATTATAAATTTTAAAATAATAAAAGTTAAATTACAAGTCTAACCTCAGGTCTAATTAACTATTAATTTTTTAAAATTTAAATTTTAATTTAAGTATTCACTTTTTTTTTTTTTTTTAGTATAGATTGCAATGGTAAAGGGGTGATCCGTGAATGTCTTGACTTTGGTTGGATAAAGTGTCGTACGTGGCACGTGCATATGGGCAACGATGTGCATGTGATATTCCATTGTTTTTTTGTGTAATAAATAACCTTTTTTTATGTTCTATACAAACATCATCCGTAAATTGTCTAATTTAGCTCTAAATGCCTATTTGCTATCGTTATTTTTTTTTTATTATTTAAAAAAAAAAACTATTTTAGCATAAAAGAAGACAGAAACAGATTATCTTTCTTTTTTATTTTTTATTTATTTTTTCACGTGCATGTAACAGAGTGTTGAAAATAATAATAATAATAATAATAATCTCCGGAGCTAGATTAATATAATAAAGTGCCAACCTTTTATTTATTTTTATTTTTATTTTTATTTCCTGAACGAATAACACATTAAGATCATAATTAAATTTAATCCATAATTTTATTATTAGTTTTTTTAATATATTACATCATAAATAAGGGGAAAAATCACATAAAAGGAAAATAGATATATCTAGCACTTCCTCTTTTTTTTTTTTTTTTTCCTACAAGTAAACGAAACATTAAAAAAAGGTCAGGGTATTGTGTTTCCACGTGAAAGAAAAATAAAATAAGAATAATTAGAATAAATTCCTCTCTATTTCCCTTTTTACCCCTCATGCAATTCGAATCCAAATGCCCTTACTCGGAATCTTCCCGTGAACCACAAACAAAAGGTAATACCCAGATGGAGCAATGGTACCCGACCCGGGAATACTGACGTGGATATCCCACGTGTTATTTCCCACGTTCGTCACATTCTCGCCGCCGATCACTAGCAGTCTCTGACTCATGGAGAATGAATGTGTATTGAACGGTGGTGCCACCATAGTCACCTCCACCGTATCGGAAGTTACACCGCCACCGGTGAGTTTAAACCGAACCACCAACTGCTGTGCGTGTCTAACTTTGGTTTGAGACGACGGTGATAATATCATTGGTTGCAGATTTTCAAATTTTGGATCCAAATACGGCGGCGAAAACGCTTCCAGTCTCAGCTCCGTCGGGAACGGCACGCCGGTGAAGTTGTAATATATATTCGGATTGCTCCCGCCGACCAATATGCGACCGTCACCGAGTAGCACCGCCGTGGAGTGATAAAGACGGGGGATCGTGCTCGGGTTCAACAACCGGAACCTTAAGCCGGGTGGGTCACTGGGTCGGTACACAACCGGGTTTAAAACTGGGTCCCGAGCGTTATCCCACCCGGCCGTTCCCAACCCCGCGCCATTAATGATCAAAACGTCGCCGTTTGGAAGTAAAATCATGTCCCCCATTACTCTACCCACCGGCATTGTTTCAATGACCCACTCGGGTTTCGGGTCGGTTATTGTGGTTCTAGCGCAGGTATTTAAAGCTTTTACAAAGGTCCGATTCAGAGCTTCATTAAAAGACCCTTTCGGAGCTCCACCGCAGACCAAGACCTCTGCTCCAATCGTCGCCGCCTGTAAATTCTTCAACGGAAGCAGCACCGCTGAGCCAGTGCTCGGATAACACCGCGGATCTCCGCCAGGAATGGCCGGAAAAGTCTTCAGCACCTTATTCCTCGCGTAATCGAACAGAATCGACCGATTGTTCGCGAAAATGAATAAACTTCCGTCGATGTTCAGAAACACAAACGGATACAAATTGTTCTCGATCAACCGATCGTTCGTCTCTATCAAGAATGGTAAGCTATACGCCTTGGAAGTTCCGCCGGTTTTCGGAAAAAATTCGTAGTTGAACTGCCGCCGTCCACCGATTACAATCTGCCGTCCATCTGGCAGAATGTGGTTCGTCGGATACCATCGGCGAACACTTAGGGCAAACGGAATCTCCTCCCAATCGGAGCCATTAGGATACGGCTTGAAGATTCTAACTCTCCGATCACCGTCGTTGAATCCGCCGGTCTGAACGAGAGTTCCATCGCTCATGGCGGCACCGGCAGAGCACCATACATCGGTCTGAACCATGAGTGGCCGGAACGAGTTGGAAGCGACGTCGTATTCCAGTGAATGAGCAGTACAATCGACTTGCAGAGCCGTATCGTTTGGATCCATTCGGCATTTTCCATCTGGCAAGCTCAAATTGGAGGTGCCGAAGTCGGTTCTGTCGTAGATGACGACTCTGTCATTGTGAAGTAACTGCATGTGCATTGGCAGAACTCCGATGTCGTTCTGCAGAATCTGCCACTGGCCGCCGACGTCGTCGGCGGTCGACGGTGGCAGCAAAGTGAGGACGAGAATTTGGAGAATCATAGTTGCAGAGAAGTAGGTAGCTCGAATTGCTCTGTTTTTCAAAATCCGCCATTAACGATAAAGATAAGTAATCCAACCCCCTGCCACTGGTTTTCAGTGGCCGATCAAAATGACGATTTTAGGTCCATTCAGAACGAAAATTATGACTTCTCAACGTATCACAGAAGGTTACTATAGACATTTGACTGAAAAATAGAATTTCTGTCCAATATTGTTTCTTAAATAAAACCCATTAAATAAAGCGTGTATTTTCTTCTTATTCTTTTTTTTTTTAATACTTATATTGTAAATAACGAGTTAAATTATAAATATTATTCTTCAAACTTTGGAGAGTTCGTGTATACTTGGGATTTGAAAATTTTAAATTATAAATTTTGTTCTAAGCTTTAAAATTTTTTAAATTCACTTTTTAAAAGACTACATAAACATAATATTCCAAGATCTATAATTAAATTAATATTTAATCTAAATAATCTTATATTTTTCAATTTATGTATTTTTTATGGTTAGATTACTGTAGATTTTTCAAACATATCGATTATTATTTTAAAAGTCGATAATTTAAACTCCAACTTCAAATTAATTAATGATATATATATATATATATATTATACCAATTTTGTGAAATTAATTATGCAATTAGTCGGTGGATTTGGTAGATTTGTTAGGTGGGTTAAATTAAAGGGAATAAAATGAATATAGTATTTATTAAGAAATATGTGTCAAATTTAGTTTCTAAAAATGATTGCTATCCTCGTCCCCATCAAACTTCTTGCTCAATTATGTTATTTAATTATATTTAAGAATGAATTAAATGCCATATATGTTTCGCCAATTTAATGATGAATACTAAAATAAGTATAATTCAAATTATCGGATTTAATTAAACCTTTTTTAAGGTTAATTTAAAACAGGCCAATTTCAAAGTATATAATATTAAAAAATTCTTAAAATATATATTTATTTTTAATTTAGAAATAGCTTTTATATTAAAGCAAAAAGGATATTCCAAGCCCACCGCTAGTATCTCCACCCTTATAAGACCTCTTACATGTTATGTATCGTCATCAGCTTCACGGTTTTAAAACGTGTATGTTACAAAAAGGTTTTTCCTCCCCTATAAGGAATGTTTTGTTCCCTTTTTCTATCCGGTGTGAAATCTCACAATCCACTCTGTTTGGCTCAACATTCTCGTTGGAACGTCACTTGGTAGCTGACTCTAATACCATTTGTAACAACCTAAGCACATTACTAATAGACATTTTTGCTTTAGCCTGTTACGTATTACCATCAACCTTGCAGTTTAAAAAAACGCGTATGTTAAGGAAAGAATTTTCCACCCTATAAGGAATATTTCATTCAGTTAGCCAATCAATGTGGAATCTCACATAGAATAATTCATTACATATCGTTTGAACTTAGACATGAGTTAGAATATGAAACGAGTGCAGTAGTGTCATATAACGACGTGATGAAACTCAAGTTTTAGTTATTGAAAATTTTTAACATTTTGTTTAAAAAATGATATAGAACTTTTATATGTATATATTAAAATTATTTTTAAAATTTTTAATTACTCTATAAAATTTAATTAATACTAAAACCTGAACTAGTTGGTTCGACTCTATTCACCCCTAATAAAAGTAATACCTAATTACGGTAAAAAAGTAAATTTTCACCGCGAAGAAAAAGAGGAATTTCGGTCCGAAAAAAAAAAAGAAAAAAAAAAAAAACTCGCCGATTGGTCCGTGGCGTTTCATAAGGTCCCCTCGTCCCACTACTTTCTTTCACCTCACCTGTCGTTTTGGGTTTATTTATTTCTAATATTATAATTAATTATTTATTTCTTATTTTTTCTCCCCCGCAACAGACTTTTTTGCCCCCATCCCGCTGACGGCGCACTTCTCAGAGCCGACCGTCACTCTCACCACCGGTCAGGCTAACGTGCACTCACTCTCTTCTTCTTCTTGTCACCAATTCTTGAATGCCGCGAAATACAAGCTTTTTCAAGGTCTGCTGCTTTTCCCTCACCGATTTTGTGTTTCTTTTCGCTTCTTCTCAGGCATGCTGGTACAAACCCTAGATGCGTGTTTTCTTACATCTCTTATCGCATTGTTCTTTTGTTATTTTGGTATTGGTCGAGTTAGGAAGGAACTCTTTCCGATATTCGCGGTATAATTAGCTAATCGGTAGAATTTCTTTACTGGATTTCTGAGTTTTAGATACTTGATGTTTGGGAGGTGGAAAGCAATGGGATGTGTTTCAGATTATTGCTTGATTGCTTGTTTTATCAAGCTGGGTTAGGGTTACACCATCGAGATTTGCTGGTTATTTATTGAATGTGGGGTTGAGAAGATGGACGGAGACAACAAGAAGTCTGGTTTTAGGAAAAGAACGAAGCCTAAGGAGGGTGGGTTTGATTCAGACGATGATGAACCCATTGGATCTCTGCTGAAGTTGAAGAGATCACGCAACTCTAAGAAGAGTAAGTTGGGTGTAGACGATGGTGGTGAAAGGGACAAGATGGTTGACAAGAAAGGAGCAAAACATCCAGAGCAAGAGGATATTGGGGGAATGGACGACACTTTAGCCAGTTTCAGAAAAAAGTTGAGGCGTCCTAAAGAGGTTGGACCCAGAATTGCTAGGAAACAGAGTTCTTCTGTAAGTGTGGCAGAATCTTTGGTTAATGCATCCAGAGGACAAGGGGATTTAGACGCAAGATTTAGACCAGAAAAGGGTGAATTAATGTACCGTGAAGAGTTCGATTCATCTGCAATGATTGATGTAGAAACGAAGTGTGAAGCACCTGTTTTGGAATTAAAAGACATGGAGACGGGTATCTCGAGTCGGAGAAGTGCTAAGTGCTCTTTTGATAAACAGTTGGATGATTCACTGTCAGCATTTGTCCAAAAGGTTCAATCTGGTTCAACTAGGAAAACATTCATATCTACAACATTTAAACCAGATTGCAAGGACGAGGCTTCAGAAGATAAATTGAGTCCTTTTTCTAGAACTGGGGATCATGAAACATACTCCATAATGAGTTCTGATTCTTCTGCTAAGCTGGCACAAGTTGTAGAAAAAACAGATTCTGATCTTACTATGTCATGTTTAATTTCCTGTTCACGGTGCACTGGAGAGAATTGTAATCCTAATCCCGATCAAGGACAATGCCACCAAGGGGTCGAAGGTGACCAAGAAGAGTATCAACGTCGTCTCAATAATCAAGATAGCAAAATCTATAGTCAATTTAGGGATAATTTCCAGGGGCTGGAAAGAAAGGCATCATGTGAAATCAAGAATGCATTAAAACATTGTTCTTGTGGCGAGACAATGGAGCGTAGCCATTTGGCAGAAATGGTTTCTCTTCAGGATGGGCTAGGTGAAAATCATCTTAATGAAAATATGTGCAGTTCTTTTCGCCCTCTAGAACAGTCAAAAGAAAACCATGGCCTTTGTGGGGTTGTTTCCAGCGGATATTTTTGTGATGTGGTGGCCCAAGAGACAACAGTCACTTTGTCTAAAAAAACTTTAGGTGTAGATTGTGAAGGAAAAGATAGATTACTTGTTATGCATCATGATGAATTGCCTACCTCTACCAACTTCTGTGAAAATTCTTCCAAAGAAATCTGTAGATCTACTCAAAATTTAAAGATTTCTGATCAATCATTAGACAGAACAACACTCTCCAATCTTCAGATATCCGCAGCTTTCGATTCAAAGGAAGTGGATAAGACTTGCAGTGACTCTGGTAATTTAAATACTGGAACTGATGTGCCAAATACCAAAGGTGGTTCTAGGCAGAAGGAAAATGCTCGGATCTCTCGGAGTATTTCAGATTCAACTGCTGTTCAATGTTCCAGATCCCAAAAATCTGGGGCAACTACATCTGTACCAAATTATCCAGAAGTTTGTCCTATTGGAAATTTCAGCATGATATCAGATAATCAACAGGTCAAGGCTTCCGTAGGGATAGATGGTCCAAATAATATACTTCCTGGTAAGGACGTTAAGGTATCTTCTCCTGGGTCTTTGACTCCAGACGATACTGACCTTGAGGATGTAATATCTGCTCCTGGTAGTGAAAAAGATTTAAAGCTTTCAGCCTTACAACGTGTAGCGCGCAAGACAAAGAAGCCTAGACATGATGACATGGCTTACAAAGGAGATATTGATTGGGAGATTTTGATTAGTGAGCGTGCAGTTGATGGTGATCATTCTTTCAGATCAAGAAGGGATTCTACATCAACAACTTTTACAGAAGCTGAAACTGGTGGTAGAGCTGCAGTATCCGCAGGGCTGAAGGCTCATGCAGTTAGTCTACTTGAGAAGATTAAATTTAAGGATGTGCTAAAGCGCAAAGGTGGGCTTCAAGAGTACTTGGCATGCAGGTATTTGTTACTTAATCCTTTATCTTATTACATGCCGTCTTGCATATCACCTTATTTTGGATAGATTGCTTTTCTCCATGCCTTGATTTATGTCACTTAAGTGGTTTTTATGCCTTTTCTCTATGCCTTTCTCCATCGTGGAGTGTGCAACTACGGAATTATATTCAGCATCAGATACCATGCATGTTGTCTAATGATACATGCATACATACATACACACACATACATATACAGTATTTTATTTTATTTTATTTTGGTAATACATCTATGGTTAGTTGCTGGATGATGTTCTGAGTCCTATTAACTTAAACGATTAATCAAAACTTTGAAGCTTCTTTGTGATTCTTTTATATTCAAGTTGATGCCAGTCTTGGTTTGGCGATTTTTATGAGAAGGAAATATTTTAAAAAATTGTACTGTTTTCTGCCGTATCATGAACATTGTTATTATTTGTATATTATACATGTGAGCCTTGCATGGATAAGTACTATACTCTCAGCTAAATTCTACTGTAAACCATGGGGAGTAAACAGAAGTAATACTACTTTCCAGCTAACGACAAATTATTAGGGGTGCTGAGTTCTCCAAGCATCAATGTCATTAGAAGAATTGTCACTCCCCAAGCAATAATGTTTCATGCTTATTGAATTGATGCTGGAATGGAGCTGAAACAGCGTATATTTAAGTTTAATTGATACTCTTTAATCTATGATTCTATTATTCAATGATAGTTAAAATGTGTCTTCTTGCAGGAATCAGATCCTGGGCCTTTGGAGTAAAGATGTTACACGCATTTT